GAAGTTTCTGGCGAGTCACTGTAGATGTGTGTGGCCTAGCGTTGTCCTGGTGGAACACGACACCTCTCCTGTTGGCCAATTCTGGCCGTTTCTGGTCAATCGCTATCTTCAAACGGTCCAGTTGTTGACAGTAGAGATCAGAATTTAGCGTTTGGCCATATGGAAGCAACTCATAATAAATAATCCCCTTCCAGTCTCACGAAATGCATGGCAAAACCTTCCTGGCCGTTTGAGGTACTTCACCGCTCTTTGACCACGATCGTTTTCGCACAGGCTTATCGTATGTGATCCATTTCTCATCTCTAGTCACCATCCGTTTAAGAAATGGGTCTATCTCATTCCGTTTGGCCAAGGCTTCGCAGATGGAAATTCGATCCATCATGTTTTTTTCTGTTAATTGGTGTGGCACCCAAACATCGAGCTTCTTTTTGAATCCAGCTTTGTGCAAATGGTTTAATACTGTTTTATGGTCGATTTTTAGCTCCTGGGCGATGTTACGACTGCTAACATGCCGGTCAACTTCGATCATTTCTCCGATTTTATCGACATTTTCGACGACCGGCCTACCTGTGCGAGGTGCATCTTTAACATCAAAAATTCCTGAACGGAATCTACGAAACCAGAATGGCACATAATTGGCTGTTACAGTATCGGAACCATAAACACCATTCACAATTTTAGCCGCCTGGCTTGCATTTTCGCCTTTGTCAAAGAAAAACTGTAAAATGTACCGAATTTCTCTTTGTTCACTTCCATTTTTAACACGCTGTAACTCACAACAGAATGCACCAAACAAAAAACAGAAAAAAAATTTTTTTACTTCGAAATGTCACCTTTCCAACGAGCATAAATATGAAATTGTTTGATCGATACTTTACGAGAAATCTATCAGTGCAGCCATCTACCGAAAAAATAATGGATTTCTTTTTCCCCAAACTAATATAAACGCTCAATCCAGACCAAGTGACAACCTATACCGAATTTATTCACTGCAACAAAAATGTGTAACCAGTTATAGTATATATATAAGTAATTTGATATAAGAATAAGAAGTCATCCAGATACTTTCAACAAACTAATTCTAAGCTGGATACAAATTAGGTTCTTTATCTTGGGTGGTTTATCTACCATGGCGATTTGACAGATTTTAAGGAACGTCATCGGCCTTTTTCTTAGAAATCTGCACTGTATTCCAAATCCTAATGAACTCTGTGTTTTTCACATTGTAATGTTTTTGGTCGTAAACTTATAGACTATTTTCGCAGGTTTGCGTGAGTACTGCTTGGTAATACTGAAGTGAGCTGGTATGGAGTTAATATTAGCGGGGACAAGCCGTGTACTTCTTCGTGTTATATGTTTATTATTGGCTAGGGAGGTGTTTCATTTGGGATGGTTTTTGGTATTATCATATATTGGTATATGTGTAAAGCACTGTAATTATCTGTCTACGGTACACGTCTACCGTCGTAGACTGCTTGGCTTAACTGTTTGAATAAAATAAATAAACAAAAGCAAATAATTTAATTGCATTAACAATAATAGAAAAAAACATTCAGGATTTTTCTATGCAAAGAAACGAAGGATGTACTAGAGGAATCCGACATTTTAGTACTTCTGGACACTTACAAAGGCGTGCTGACAGATATAGCAAGAATCAAGGCTTTTATATTTATTAATATGAAAGCATTATGAAAACAAAAGAAGCTCATATGTTCATTCCATCCTGAAAAATATAAGGTATATAAGGCAAGACAATTTAACATTTATGCAATAAAATTATCATGTCCAACAACGTTAATGCGGTTTCTATGAAAAAAGAGCATTTTGTTGGGAGAAATGTTACACACGGTCTCTAGCATGCCAGGCCAATAAACATCACAACAACAAAAAATCAAAATGCAAGTTAAAGGCAGGGGGCGCCATATGATGGTACGCGACCAACTCTGATTATTAAAATGTTTGAATCCGTTTTTCCGTGGGAAACAAAAAAAAGAAAAATTAAAGTAACCTCCTACTAGGCTTGCTAGGTTGCTAATAAATTGAAATTATATTAATTTTACACTCGTTCGGCTTACGTTGGGCGCCCTTTATTTTCCAACTAGGTTTATAAGCGACCAACGTTTATTGAAATTTACTCAATATGAAAATTCCTGTTTCTTGGGTGTACTTTTCTTTGTGCGCCATGCATGTGTAAAAAAATATTTAGTTGTTTCTTTCTCGGGTTAAAACCTCACGTAAGGCGCCATTGTGTTTGTTTTATCAATTTATCAAAATGTTTGCGTTTAAGCTACGTTGGCGTTGCTTTATCCCATGACCCACGTGTGTTGAAAATTAACAATCAAGTTTCTAATTATAATCTTCTTCGGATAAAATTTTCTTTGGGCGCCATCTTGTCTAATAAGCAGCCAACGTATATATAAAACAAATAAATTTATCATGAAAATTCGCGAACCTAAAGATTTTAAAAATTTCCAGGTTACAGTTCCGTTGGGCGCCATGTAACGTTTTGTAAAGCGGCCTAGCTTTAAAAAACAAATTAAATAATAATAAAAACAAAATAACTAATACCAAAAAATAATCTTTTATTTATACTATATAATATTTCATGCATATTATGTCGTCTGTCCTGTGCGCCGTCCGTCGGTCTCTCCTTCGTCCGTCGGTATCTGTTCACAATCTCCTGCTTCCCATCACGCGTGCAAGCCTCCATGCTCCACCTCAATGGAGTGGTTTTCTGCTTAAGTACTCATTTATCTACTTACTTTTCTATATGCTAACTAAACTGATACCTGGCTTTTGAACAATACAGTACAACATGGATAGAATTACCGTTCTCGTTCAAGTTGATGGATGCAAGTGGTACATTCCTCACGAACATAGGTTATATGAAAAAGATTGTTTTAGTTTATACATATATAGCGTTCCGTGGATTTCATAAAAAACACAAATTTTCTTTTAGGATCCCGTCCCATTTATTCAAGGTTTTAATTCAGCAAAATTTTCCTTTTTCTTTCTAATTTTGTGGTGTACGTATGTATTTATGTGTGTTTCAATGTCTAGCCACTGTTATGGCTTTCGTTTAAAGTAAATTTAATGTTACTAAGTTTATTAATTGCGTTTTCCACAATTATAAATAAAGCTTTTTTTTTTCTTTAGATATTAATTAGCTATTTTGCACTTTTTCCGTTTACAAGCAATATTTGTTATTCTTAGTGATTAATTCCGGTGCAAGGCGTGCGTTTATCTTTGATTTTTAAGAAACCGTCTTTCCTTCAGAGGTTTATTATCGAAGCCAAAACAAACTCAAAAAACAAAACCAGCGAAAAACACCACCGCTGAACTTTCCAGCCAAAAGGTTCTCTCTCTGATCACGCGATGTCGCGTAACGGAATGCAGCTATTATGACATTTCGTGGTTAGATCAGATGGACAGATCCCCTATCCCAGCTCGGACTATAGTATACTATGTTATACTAGCGCTATAATACCGTACACTAGTACTATGCTATACTATATTATATTATCTTATATTATATTACCCTAGCGCTATAATATCCTACACTAGTACTATGCTATACTATGCTTTATTATCTTATATTATATTACCCTAGTGCTATGATATCCTACACTAGTACTATGCTATACTACACTATATTATCTTATATTATGTTACTCTAGCGCTATAACACCCTACCCTAGTGCTATGCTACACTATACTGTATTATCTTGTATTATGCTACCTCAGTAATATACTACCCTCTACTATATTATATTATCCTACGCTAGTAATATACTACCCTTTATTATATTATGTTATCCTACGCTAATAATATACTACGCTATATTATATTATATTATCCTACAGTAGTCTAGTACTATAATCCTTGCTCTTGAATAACGGCAGGCCGTTATTACGGTCACATTTACCCTGTTGTAATGGGATCGTGGTTAAATCAGGCCGACTGAAACCCCTACCTTACATCGTACACGGACATTACAAAGTGAGTAGGCGAAGTTTTTTTTTTCTTTTTTTTTTTGAAAAAGAAAAAATAATATTTTGGGCTGTTCTGATTTGAGTTTGTAGTCATTAGTCTTTTTTTTTTTTTTGGAATTTTAAAAGAAAGAAAAAATATAGAAAAACTTGGAGGAGTTTCTTATTTTATTTATGAAAAGAATAAAATTGACTTTTACGTTTTACAACATCATTAAAACCTCATCGAGTGCATTAATTCGCTTCGTATTGACATTGCAATGAACGCTTTTGAAAACACATTGTAACGAATTAGGAATGTAATGAAATTAATCGTAGAACAATTAATGCATTTAAAGAATTCATAAGTAAAGAAGTTCTGAGTGGTTATTATTTCGAGTTTCGTTCAAACATTTTTCCTGACCAAAATCCATACCATAACCGACGTAAGCCGTATAAGTACAAAAGTCAAAGCCGGCGTGTTTCCAGCTTCTTGATGAGCCTTAAATCAGTATCCAATTGGTTTTGTGTATGTTCAACTTTTTTTTCGCCATCTTCCAATTTTATCGTTACGAAAACCGTCTACAAATCAAATTTAGCAGCACTTACTACATCTGCTTTGATAATTACACGTTTGCAGAGGCATCGTATTTCCGAAACTCATTTTGAGAGTTTAAAATCTCAACAAAGCAGAGGTGATATTTATTTACCTATACATCTTGAACAGAGTTATTTAATTATTTAATTAAAAAAAGTTTTTAAATGGATGAGTTAAATGTTGTTGTTAATTAAATAAGTTATTTTGGCAAGAACTTAATTAGTATTAATTTATAACTCATATTATTTAATGTAATCGTTAATTATATGCTTTGTTTTGTAGTTCATTTTTCATGTTGTTTATTTTAATTATTAAAATTGTTTCTAACTCATTTGCTTTGAATGATACTGGTTGGCGAAATAAGTTTACTCATTACACTACACTTTCACTTACAACACATAAAAATTATGAAAATTTTGTAGAGCAAATTTCTCTTATGGACCCCCCAATTTCGGCAAGCTAGTCATTTCGTTAAGAGCCCTTCAAGTATGCTACAATACATATATGTTCGACATATTTTACCCAATTTTCCATAAGGCACATGAGTTATTCTGCACGGCGCCTATATATTTTATATGATTATTATATTTGTTTATCCATTTATGTATTAAACAAATTCTACAGTAGAACATATTATTAGCCGAAGTATCCACAAAATAAGTTAACTGTAGTAAAGAAAAAATAAGTAGTTATACTATAAAACATTATTGCAAAATAAACCAGAAATAGTTGTTACCTGACGCAAAGGCTTCCTCTTGCGTGACAACGCGTAGCCACACATTGTAAACAAAAAATATTAATAAAAACAAAGCATAAGCGAAGAGGAAAAGCTAACAAAGATTTCCTGGTAGCGAACGAAAAAACAAATTAATATAATAACAAATAACAAAATAATTGAAAAGAATCTTGGAATTTTAGCTCACCTTTTTAAAAACCAAAAGCATTTAAGAAACCATCTTGATAACCGCCTTCAGCCAACAGTTTCGTTATGAACAACACAGGCCTTCCGATTCCATCCATTATCTGGAAATTTTTGGCTTTCATTGAATGCTAGCAATATATGAGAACGCCAACCAAAAACAACAATATTTTCTTGATGTAATGATGTGAACTGGGAGGACCCAAAGTCGTCCCTCATTTTGGCCTCACGAGTTCTCCGTCTCTGGCTGGGGAGAGAGGAGTGCTAGAGAGTAAGATAGGATAAAAGTAGGATAGGCGTAGTATAAGAATAGATTAAGATAGAATAAGAACAGATTAAGATCGAACAGGAATAGGTTAAGATAGCATAAGAATAGAATAGTTCAAGTTAGTGTAGGTTAAGGATAGGTTAGAAAGTTGGAATTCTGTCGCCGACTAAAGTAGTCGCAGTTTTCGAGTCACAGCCGTCGGAATAAAATTGAGATTAAAATACTAAAAATAAAGGTCCCTGCAGATATATAAATTTCTTGTGCGTTTTCATTACCCTGGGCCGCTGAGCTGCCCCAGCCGTTAGGAAAGGGACGGAAACGTCCTCACAGAACTTAAGAGTTGATATGACGTCCCTCCAGTACAGCTGAAATTTAGATTTGTTGCCAATTTAGTTTGCTTTGTTGTATTTCTTTCGATGACATGGGTACCAACTAACAGTTATTATTTCATCGTTAACACACAATCTTTTGTAAAAACCCTTTGAAAATTTTTAATAGAGTTTTGTGCTCTTTCTCTTCCAAAGCATTAACGATTGTTTTCTAACTGGAAACTATTTACTTTACCGAGAGCTATTTGAGACTTATTGTGGAGATTATAAATTGAGGTTGTATTTGTCACTTATGTTACAACACAATACAAATATATAATCATGACACACAAAAAAACTTAAGTGATGAATGAAGTGCTGGCCCAAGGAAGCAACATATACTGCTCGTCGAACAGCTACGAACGATTCAAATCAAAAATAATAGCTCCTTCTTGTGTATGCTGTCACTGCTAATAAGATATACACTAATCCTACTAATTTTTAGAGAAATATGTATAAAAAAATATAAAAAGTTTGTTTCCTTTTGCTTATGCTTGGGACTTGCCGTGCACAAATAAATGGTGATTACAAATAATCGTGTACGATCCGGCGACGATATTACTAATGATTTCGTTACTAACCTATTCTACAAAGCACTGGTACGCGTGTAATATCTAAATTTAACCAATCAAAAATACGTTCTAGCATCTTCTAAAAAAGTGCTCCTTATAAAGTTGGGATAACAGCAGCAGCTATACGTTTGCATCTTTAATATCACACCATTATCAACAACAACTACAGCAACACCATCACTATCTTCCTCGTCGTCACTCAGGTTAATTTTTTTTTTGTTAATTTCTTTTACATTGGCCTATGATGTAATCATTAAATACGAAAACCATTAGCTGTAGATGTAGTCGGAGCCAACTGCGTGGTCTCCATAAGTAGACCAGGTATATGTTGGCACTGGGCATAACACTAGCTTGTGTCCGTCCATTCATCCTCATAAAGGTTATAGCACGTGTATTTCTTTAGTGTAATCGCCTGTGGAGTGTCTGTGGTATAAAAATTGAAACCCCCCATTACTTCGGAACTGGCTAAGCTATCAATTATGCATGCGTTTACAGCCTCCTACCTTTTTAACGAATACAGTTTTTTAGTTACACAAATGTGGGGCCCAAAGTGGCGAAGAAACGCAAAAACACCAGTTCATGTTAACAGACTTCATATATGTTGCACGATGCAATATGGCTTTGCTGACACCCGGTTTCGAAACGCTGAGAAAATACGATAATTGGATTCGTCACCACTAATATCCTTGGTGCCCCTTGTTTTTATTTTTTGTCATAAAACAATGAATGGGATAAAATTTATATTTTACCTTTTACTTCAATAAAAGGTATTGCTAAGAAATATTAACCTACCGCGTCGTGACGGTTGTCATAATTAATTTTAAATTAACGCACTTAGCTTTCCGCATTCTACTCTTCAAGACCTTTTATTTGATATGGGCGGTATAATTAAGAAATAATTAGCATGTCGTGGTGTCCACCATATCCATTTTAGAATTAATCCATTTTTAGGCCGATAATATATTTTCGTTTGAGTAATGTACAAAATAGTCTTAAACAATCTGTCTTGTTGGCCTTATGATAAACAAGCACAAAACCTCAAAAAAGTGAAAAAAATTAAATTTATTCGCTTGTAACTTTTTGTCGTCGTGGCCGATTTTTTCAATTTTTAGGTATAAATAGTACAGTTTCTCGTAAAATATATTTGAAAAATCTCAGCTTTTTCCCTTTTGCAATTTATTTATTTATTTACTGACGCAGTTGCGTTCAGTTTTCGTTTCACTGCTTCACTTCTATTAAATTTCAAGGCGACGCTTTAATTTTTGCGACCAGGAAAATGTGCACAACCCACACCACACAAACACGCAGACTAACGGACAGACATTGTTTAATCAATTCAGGATTTCATGTTGATGAAGCATAAGTATACTTTATAAAGCTCTAAAGCTTCCTCATGGGCTTTGGAAACATTATGACAAAATCAGTATTAAAATGATCAAAACACATGCAAGCACCTAATACATTAAAAAATGGTCCTTAATCCTAACTTGTTCAGTTTGAAATGTTTTTTATTTTTTCAATTAGTATATTCTAAATCGGCAACTAAATGCATTCCACATGGCGTCTATGTTCGCTGCAGCCATCGTCCGTGAGAAACCAATTGCTCGTTTCCTCCATTATCTTACCAACATTAGTTTCCCAATATCTAATTTGTCATAATGTTCTGCATTTCACATTGGTACCAGCATATTTCAAAAATTTCATCATTGAGGTTTTCTGCGCTATAATTTTGGTGTTGTATGAAAGTTTCGGACAGGCTGACTGTAAAATCTCACTTAAGATTTAAGATATCTGCGTATGTGATAAATCATGCAGTGTACCTATGTGTCTGTATTTCGCTTGCTTCTTTATGAACACTTTCCATTCTTCATCATCGCGATCAATATTAAAGTTATTTTTTTTTCATACAAGTATAGTCGCCAACTTTCTGACTACTTAATTGATTATCTGCTTCGAGCGGGTATATGTGCAAACGGCCTTCTTTACGCGTCACTTTTACGTCTCTCTTATATCTTCTCGCCAACCCATACTTCAATCTAAAGATATATATATATTATATATATTACAATTCAAACCTGCATAATCAGACTGAAATCGAAATATCTTCATGGACCTTGTCCTAAAATGGGTGTGGTTTCGCATACCTGACGTGACGAGTAAAGAAGGTCTTATGGGGGTATCGTCATTTGAAGCAAACAATTAATCAAGTAAACAGGAGCTCGGCGACTATACTTATATAAAAGAAAACAATTTTAATGTTGATTGTGACGATAAAGCAAGTACATCGAAAATGTCTGTAAAGAAGCAAGCGGAAAAACGGACATAGAGGTAGTCCGCATATCTAAACTCTTAAGCGAGATTTTACAATAGTTACTGTTCAAAACTGCCATATCTACGAAACCTCAAATGTGAAAATTTTTGAAACATGCAGGTGTTAATATGAAATATTTGTAACAAAATATTATGACGATAAACATAAATTCAATATTGAAAAAGTAATTTTTGATAAGATTAGGGAGAACACGAACGTTGATTTACCACGGACTTGCCATGGTTTTACAGCTTTTTCTATTGTCTCCCGCACGGATTTCGTATACTGATTTTAGTAAAGCGTTTGACATAACCGTAACTTATTAATCTTCAAACTCCAGGCCTTTGGCTTCCCTTTGTACTTTATGAAATGGATAAGTTGTAATATACATAACGGTTCATCCAGGGTTCTATTCAACTTCATCACCTCGAATGGATTTCCCATAACGTCTGGCGTCCCCCAAGGCAGCTACTTAAAACCACTTTTATTTATTCTATACATTAATGATCTCCCCTCGGCGATTAAATCCCACCGGATCTTAATATAAGCTGGCGATGTTGAACTGTTTTCTTCTTCCTTTTCCTTGGAATCGCAATCGTATCAGCTTCAAAATGACTTAAATAATTTGGTTACATGGTGCTCTTTAAATTTTATGAAACGAAATCTAAAAAAATGCAAGAAGGTTTCTTTCTTAAGAAGAAAGTCATTCAATGCTGAGTATTTCATTCATACACACCGGTCGGAAAAAGTTAATTCGTTCATCGACTTAGGGGTTCTATTCCCCCAAAATTACGTTCTAATTTGCACATTAAACTCTCTTCAAGTGAAGCTCCGATCGCGCTAGCTTCCATTAGGAGGTGGTCTAAAGAGCTTAAAGATCTTTACATTACAAAAACGCTATAAAGGTTGTAAGATGAGGTTTTTTCTCGATCCCTTTTCATCTCTTGATTGGTAAAACAAGAAAGCAACCACGTACTGAAACAGGATTGTTTAGTTCGCGCTCGCGAAGGCAAAAATTGTTGGACAGATGATGGAGGACTAGAACGACAGAAAAAAGAGAAAATAGGATGGCGGATGGTGTAAGGATGTGTCGCCTAATAAATGAACGCAATGAATGAAATAAATGAATTCTGCATTCTTTGTGCATTCTTTGGGATTTATTCACAATCTGATTGGCTAGAAGTAAAGCCTTACAATCAGGGAAGGTTTTATGCTTGCTAAGTTGTGCTGCTAAATCTATATTTATTGATTTAGATGTGTCCTTTCTATTACGTGGAGTCTAAATAAGTACAAGTTGAGTCCAAATAAATACAACATTGATATAAAATTCGCTTTTCTAAAATACAGTCCTTATCACTAGACCGTGAATATTTTGTTCAAGAGAAATAAACTTCAAAGTTCTTTTATTTACAATTGCATTGTAGGATTATTCACAATTTATTTTTGGCAATACTTTTAATTGCTCAACTTAAATATTCTTTTTCTACCAATTCTGACTTTCACAAATATTCTATTTACATACATTTTTACCATCATATTACTAGTACCTAATTTTATGGCTTGATTTTTAATGCGTTAACCTGCTTGTCTGGTACTCGTTTTCCTCGGCCGGCAACTGCATGACGCACTGCGAATGTGCATTTGGTTTCTTTTCTCTTTAAGGAATTTATTATTTGGGAAAATGACATAGCTGGAATGAACTAGATTAGGGATTTTCGTAACAATATGAACATTTAAGTTGTGGCCACATCTATATAGGGAGAAATTTATGAATAATTAATAATTTTAAAGTTCACTGATCTGTAATATACTTATACCCGTATTATATTTGATTTATTTTTTTTACGTTACTTTTATTTTTATCATTAAATTAAAAGAGATACCAATAGTAAATTAACGTTAACGATAAATGTGAAATATATTATTCAAATAAGTATAACTGTAACATGGGAGAAAACAAAAACAAATTAAAATAAAACCGATTTTAATTATGAGAAGAACGTAGATTAGAGAGGTCTTCGGACTCAACTTCGGGGTCCCCCCTAACCTTTCTATGGGCCGAAGGGAGACCGATAGGCAGGATAGGTATAGAATAGGCCTAGGCCAATCGGTTGGTTAGAGTTTCGTCCATCTGATATTCGGTAAGAATCCCTCCCACATCTTTTGGACCAGCTAGCTCAGCTTTTGCACATACACTAGGATCATAGGTCTCCATTCCTCTTCAATTGGTACCGCAAGGTTGCCCTAAACCTCCTATAGATAGCAGCTTTACACTTTAGAGTACTGACAGCACAAGTAAATATTTGTTTAATTTAAATGTTACAATGTGCTTAGTTAAACCAATACTTTATGTATTCCTCACCTGTATGGTCCCCTTCTTATAGAAGTTATCTGGATTCTATTGAATCAGTTCAAAAGCAATTTTTGCTGTTTGCCCTTAGGAATTTGTGTTGAGACATTCTTGTCTCCTTACCTCCTTATGAGAATTGGTTGCTTCTGTTATCCATTCTATCGCTTGGGGAACGTAGATTTATTCTTGGTGTTTCCTTTCTAATTAAGTTAAGTAAATTTGCCCACGTTATTTGGTGCGATAACCTTTAATGCCTCTAATCGCTTTTCTAGGCACTTTATTTTCATTAAGCTTAGTCAGTGGAAACAGAATTATGAACTGTTTAATCCAGTCAGAGTTGTTTGCGGACACCTAAATGATGTCTATCACATAATCTCATTATCGTACTCTATATACCCTATCAAAACAAGTATGCTTAATGCAATATTAACTCACCATGATTCAAAATTAACAGGTGTTGTTTACTGCTTCAGTCGTCCTTTTCAGAAAGGAATGGAGATATAAAAGACTTGATAACAAAAGCTAAATGCTACGTAACAATTCGTTCAAACAATTTATGAAAGACACTCAACTTGGCGATTCCTCTATAGTTCTCAAGTGTATCTAAACAAATAAAATTAGTAAATGTATAAATAAAATAAGCAAATTAGATAAAAATATGTATGATACACTACAACATAATTTTTTTTAATATCAAAAAACGTTCTTCAAATTTATTTGATATGAGCATTTTTATTGAAATATGTCAAATCATTTGGCGTATGTGGAATTTAGATTACTTCAATTCTTCAAAATAAATTACGGAAAGAAAACAGATCATATATGTTACGTACATACCTCCTGTTTAGCGTTTTTTCGTACGTACATTCTTATATGAATACCCTATTCAATTAAAAACCCAAAATTGTGTGTACGTCTGCTTTGCAAACATTTGAAGAATGCGGCGTTATATTAAAAAACTGTTAACAGTACCTTTGTCCATACAAATAATGAAAATGCGAACACAAGCATACAAATGGTTACTAATTAACAGCGTCACTACAGTTATTAATAACAGAAATACGAACAGATCCCAAGAATCTCCTAATCTCAATTTTGAATAAAATGTTATAATATCTACGTAGTTCGTTGTCTACGGTAATAATTAATAATTTTATTGCGAGAATATTGCTAGTGAAAGATCTTGTCTCACAGATATAATGTTTTTGCACCCATTTTTATTGTTTAACAGCGTACATTCTTATACACCCGTTTATCGACTCTCTTATGCATTGGTATATTTCTCCACAAGCTGTAATCTTTGTTGTAATTGCACATCTGTATGCAAGTATAAACTGTTATAGTTTGGAAATACCGTAATTTAGAAATATTATCAGAAACCACACAGGCATATGCTCGCTTTAAATCGGTTCCAATTAAAAAAGTTTCAAAAATAACAAACCTTGCATGTATTACCTCTTAGATATACCTCTTATATATATTTAAAGATGTTTAAAGCGTTCCGCAGGGGCCAATAGTGGATTCCTAGGTCCCTTGCATTTGCAAAACCGTTGCATGTGGGCTACTCTGCAGCGTGCGACAAAATGTCGTGATCATCCAAATCGCCGACTAAGATATCTGAAACGATGTTTGACATATCGCCTTAGACAAGTCTGAACATTTACAACCTCGTTTCACAAATAAGTTTTCGCAGGCAAACGATGCATCGCCTCCCTTCCGCGACTTATTACAAATGTAATGTCTTAAATGCGTTTTATTCACTGTACAGGATATTGGAAATGTCCTCTTATATCCCACAAGAAGTAAGCTAAATAATAAGACCCCACGCGACGCTTTATACCTGCTTACCTCGAAGTGACAAGTAAAACCACCTATAGGTATGGGAGAGCATTTTCGCCAATCTATTAGAATTTACTTGGAACGAGGATTGTTTAAATATAAAAATTTGTATTGCGGTTTACATGATTTCCCTTAGGAGCGATCAGGTGCGTACATATTATATATTCTCCTTTTTTAACAGTGAAATTTTACGCAATATCGATTCTATGCAATTAACTGGGAGAAAATCTTTGGCAACTCCAGCAAATTGGAATGTACGCTTCTTTTTATTGTAACCAAATTTCTTCATTAAGCATAAATTCTTCATCTTCATCGCTCTTTCAGTATTCATATATTCGTCACATATAGTCGTATATAGTCACACATTTATTCGTCAAGTTTAATCTAAATTTGTTTCTGCTATGTTTTCTCCATCTACTTCCTGCTCGTACGTTATGTTGAAGCATTTGTGTCACTTGGAACATTCTTTAGCATTGCTACGAAGATTCCCGTTTTTGTGCGTGTGTGTAGTATTCGCTCAGATGGTTGTCCTCAATAATATTGTCTCTTAATTGTTGGTGCCTGATACTGCCTTTGGAAAGATGGAGGTGGTTTTTGCTGGTTCTGAAATAAGTTAGCAATTCCGTTTTAGGGGTAAAAGTGATGCGAGGTTTCTACGACTTGTAGCTTGTCTAGTATTGACATAATGCCTCCAGTAGCTCGCATTCTGAAGTTTAGATGTAATGCTTGTGGTAAATTCGCTGGTTCTCTCATGCCGGGTCAACTAAACAAAACGCCAATAACTCCGTTGTTAAGCACTTTGATATCTTCTTCCAGTTTAGTGGTGTATTGCAGGATTTAAGAGCTTCGCCCGCTTGTCCTACTATTTTGTTTCTTAGGATTAATATGCCATAATATTTTGGGCTACCTTTCAAATGATATATATATATTTCTAGTGTAGTTTCGACACTTTTCTTCCACGAGCTAAATTCGTCTGGTTTTCACAAAAGTTCTGTAAGAGTTTAAGTTATGGTTGCGATTGAATCGAGTTCATTTAGATCGATGTCTCATGAAGTATAGATTGATTGGGCATAATTAAGTCTTTAACTTCTGATATCGGTTGTTCTACCTAATTGTTTTTGTTAATTACGTTTTTACTTAGAAAAAATGTTTACTGTCGCGAAGTGTTTTTGGAGTGCTTTTGAAATAAAATCTTTAGCTGAATAAATCATCTAAAGTTATCTTTAAAGCTGAAAAGAAAAAAAAATTTATAATTTCGAATATATAAACTACAAAGCTCTGCTAATATTGATAATCAATTGACAAAACCAATTGAATTTCAATTAATTTCGAAAAGCTTTTTAAAAGTATTTTAATAAAGACAGTGCATTTTGTACTTTTGTTCGTTATTCAAAATCTGAAAGAAATGTAACAGAAAGAAAATAAGTAAATTTCGTAACATTGGCAAACTTAGGCAAAAGCCAATAATGTGAATCCTAAGTGTTAGATAGACTGTAAATCCAAATTCGGCAAAGGCTACCGCGACAACGCAATTACCCTATTCAATCGTTTAGTCAAATTGGTAGTCTTTCATAATAGCTGCAGGATGTATTTATCCTCCTTTGATATTGTTAAGATGCAAAATATACGAGCGGTAAAGCTTTGAAAGAAAACAAAAAGGTACACCTTTTCCTCTCGATAAAATAGTGGGCTCTAATTGTCGTATGAAGGGAAACATTGAAACATAGTATTGGACGTTGAACGTACCAGCACCAGGAGGTTTGATGTTAACATGTGGTGTTCGGGGGGCGGCTGTGCGAATTAACAACTTTCCTGCTTGACCTGCCGCCTGCTTTGTTTAGAATGGATGACAACATGGACAACATCGATCGTCGGCATTATGGATGACAATATTGCAGGTACTGTGCCCACAGCTGCTTTTGTGAAACCCCAGCGACTGGAGCAAGAAGGCGCTTCATCACTCAACAACCAGGTATTCGTAAATGTTAAGTAAAATTTAGCGAGGGTATGGAGGGGTGCGCGCGTGAGGGGAAGTAGGGTGACCCTGGACAAATACCAACAGACGAAGGGGAGACCAACGGACGACTTACCGGCCAGACGACAGGATTGTATAGTGTAAATAAAAGACTTTTTTTTAGTTATTTTGTTCTTACTATTAATTAATGTTTTCTTGTAATGCGAAATCACGAGGACAATGGCTCTACCGATAAAGAGCTAGGCCGCAACTTTCAGGGTTCATTTTGGTATTTAAAATCCAATAACTTTGGATTTAAAACTTTAAATTTTAATTACATAAAATTGGGACTTTTTAAGCATATTTGTGAAACTTAGTAGTTTAAAAATTTAAAAAATTAGCCAAAAACTTCTCGCTTTCCGTTCCAGTCAAATTTTGTTTTCTATTTCTCTATTTCAGTCTGGCAACCTTGTCGCGCGGTATAGTCGTGTATTTTTTGTGTCGGCAAATAAAATTTTAATTTTTTTCTTGAATTTCGTGGCTTTTCTGCCTTAGTGTGTGATTTTATTATATTCTTTGAGAAGAAAGTGAGTGAATTCAAAGTAAAAGAAATATTTTTCTTTTACGCTTTCATTTGATTCATTTGAGTTTTGCAAACAAAATTTTGAGCTCTGATAAAAATCTCTTTTTTTTTTTTTTTTGTTTTCTCTCTTTTTCTCTGTTATTTTTTTTACTGTTTGGAGTTTGTGTTGCTAGTGATCTCTCGTTACAGTGTCAACCTAACAGAGAAGTTTTGCACAAATTGGTTGATAAATTTTTATATTCAGGATTTTTTTTTTTTTTTTTTTTTTTTTTTTAGTGATTTGTGTGTCTGTTCTCCATAATCAACAACTGTCTTTTTGACAGGACATGGAGTGTTTATATACACCTTGTCGGGCGAAATCAGGCCCGGATTCTGAAAGATTCGTTTCTTGTTGGCTCTGCGAGCGCTTCGGTCATGCAAAGTGTGCCGGTATTCTCGGCCGTGCTGCTGACGCAGTCGCTGATCCTTCTAAAGGCTTAAGATGGTCATGTCCTGACTGTAGGCAGCGGGACATTGACTTTTATAAACTTTTCACGGAGACCCGTTATGGTTTCTCGGAATTGAGTAGAAATCTCGGCTCCTTGTGGGAAAAGTTTGAGCTCATTAAGTCTAGGTTTGATGAGTGTCGCTTTATTGGACACTCATCTTCTACTCGTAGCGTAGCGTATGGGACTTCACCTCTGGCTTTCTCCAAATCTAATTCGTTGGTACAAGTTACCGCTCCTTCTAACTCTAAAATGAATAGTAATGTTTCCGATATTGCTGAGTCGGTTGGTAGCAAAACAGTTACAAACAAACCGGCAAGTCCATCGGTTTTAAGCTACGCTGAAGTGGCAAGGGTATCTCCGCCCAGAGCCGCCACTCACTCTAATCAAGTGCCATCGCCTAAAAGTAATAAAGAGAAAAATAAGTCATCCTCTCCTCCTGCCTGTTCGCGTGTGAATGCTGGTCACCAGACTGGGCAAGTCTCACAAGCTGCCGGTACAAGGGCGATAACCCCATCTATATTTTCCCCAACTCGAAACTCTCCTACTGTGAACCCCCCTCCTGTTCAAAATAATGACATTTGCTTGACGGCAGTTCCTCCCAGAAAAGCAATATTTGTGTCAAGACTGACACCTGAAACATCGGTGGATAACATAAAAGGTTATCTGGCGACGAAAGTCCCATTAGTCAACTTAAAGCGTGTTAGCATCTTCAAAATGGCTCCTTCTCAAGCTAGGGCAATCTC